CAGGTCTGTAGGTGTCCACTGACTCTGCTGAGTGGGCACGAATTATGGGCAGTTTGGGGGCTTCGATCTTCAGGTATTTGTAGTCTGAAGAAGGGGAAGACATAGATACGTATACATATAATTTTATAACAGTTTTAAATGTGAGCAGTGTGATGAGAGAGATACAGTACTATCAAAAATGAGAAGTAATAAATTCTTAAACTCACCCAGATCAGAGGCAGAGGGAGAATGCAGTGTCTGCCTGACCCAAAGGCCCTGCCCTTGGACAGAGGGAGGGGTGCACTGTGACCCAGGGGTCAGCATGAACTGGTTGCCTGCGTGGGCGGGTGACTGGGCTGATGGGATGGTCCAAAGTTTGGGTCGGACGAGAGGGGCAGGCGGCCTGATGGTTGGACCAGTGAACACTTCAGTGTCTTTCTCGTGGGTAAAGTTAGGAAGTTGTGTTGAGGACTGGGGTGCTGAGTGGACTGAGCCTGACTTCTGGTCAGCAGGGACTGAGAGAGCTCAGAAGTAGAGGAGAGAAGCTGGTGCAACTGGAGGTCTGGGGCAGCTTGTTCACGGATGTGCGCAGTGGCTCCTGTGAGTTGGAAGAGTGATGACCCCGCTATGTTCACAGAGGTGGCCCTGTGTGAGCAGGTGAGGGAGATGGGACCATACAGCCCCAGGCAGCTTCCAGGTCCTCCTCCCCCGCATCCCCTTGGTGGGCTGAGGCTCCCTGTCCTGGCAGGAGGAACCATGAGGTGTCTTTCTGTCGGGTCGGCCCCAGAAGGTTCCAGTCTGGCCGGCACTGGGCCGAGGCTCTGCCCTGGGACACATGCTCCCTGAGGTGTCTCCATCATCCTGGGACCAGCCCCCTGCCGCCCCCTCTGGGTCACAGGCTCCTGACGGATCTGTCATCTGCAGGGGTGACATACAGGGGAGGGTGTGCCAGGTCCTCATTTTCTGGGTCACTCACCCAAGCAGACCCCTGTCTGCTTGCTCCTGGCCTCCCAGTATTCAAAATGGAAAAACATAATTTGCAGTGACCTTGTGAGCCAGATGCTGAAATTGATGGAGGGGTTTTGAACTTAAGAATAAAAATGAGTGGATTTCCTAGAATGTTCGATTTGCACCCCCAGTGAAGAGAGTGCAGAGTTGTTAATATTCTAGAGAGCAAGTAATTGGGATTTATGATAAAATGAGATTGTAAAAGGAACAACGTGACTGCCTCCTTCCCCGCACAGTGAAGGGTGGACTCTGGCTCCTGGGTAACGGTTTCCGGTTTCCCTGTGCTGTTCGCTGTTCAGCGTTCCTCTTGCCTTCAGTCTTCATCGGGGACGGCACAGACAGATCTGTCGGTGAACTTGTGTGGGCTGAGCTGTCCCGAGTGACCATGGGGAGTTACAGAGGTGTTACAAGGCTGGGCGCCATGTGTGGTGGGGGTTGGGACGTCGCTGTGGGCTCCGCCTGCACCTGTGGAGTGGGGTGGGTTAGACAGACGTAAGGCTGCCCCCTCCTGGAAGGTGGGAGGTGGCCTGGGGCCTTGGAAGGGGCTCTGTGGACCTGAAGCCATCTGATGAGGTTGAGTGGTGGTCATTTTGAGACCCTGATGCAGTTCTGGGTTCTCCCTGAAGGAGCCAGATTGAGCAAAGGGCCAGTGGGGCCTTTTGCAGGGTCCCTGGGCCGGAACTGCAGGCAGGGCCCAGCATCCTGACTCCTGGGTCATGTTCTCGTTAGTGCTGTGGACAGACACGTAGCTCGTTTATCCTGTGGGACTCTCTGGACCCGGAGCCTCTTTCTCTCCTCCTCATGAGTGGCGGTCCTTCCTTCATTCTGTGCTCTTTGGGGCAAAGGCGTAGTAAGAGCCATTGGCATGCTTCCGCTAGATGTATCTGAGAGCTCTGCGGAGCTGTGTCTGCAGCCTGATTTCCCTCCAGTCTCACATTTCCCGCTCTTTCCAGATGGTTCCACTTGGATGGTACCCTGAAGTCCCAGATTCATTGTGCTTGAACGTAAGCTCTTGGTCTTCCCCTCCCACCTGCTTCTCTGTAACGTTTCTTCTCTTGGTTAATTATGGGACGACTCCCAGCAGGAAACAGGACATGAGCTGGACCCATCCCCACCCCTCACTGACTTCCTCCAGCACTTATAATGTCCCATGGGCGCCTCCTGCATGGCCTCATGTCCGTCCCCAGACGTGGGCTTGGCCTGCTATAGCATTGACGTGGTCACAGTGGTCACAGAGTGTCTGTTTTGTTTCCCTGGAGGGGAGGAGGCGGGCAGGGCTGGCAGGCCTACCTCTGTTTCCTCTAGGCAGCCCCAAGGTTTAGCAGCTAGACTGAAGTTTAAAAATGAGACGTTTCTTTGAAATGCCCAGTGTTCTCCAGTAGCTCAAATTCTAGGGTAAAGACAGTTTTGTTTACCTAGTTAACAGAATGAAACAATAAAGCAGTGCGTGTGTTACCTTTATGAGGATGTCCATTACTATCGGCTCCTTGATTTGTTAAAAGGAGTAAGCAGTGAGCACCTGCAGTGTTTCACCGCCAGGAGGAGAGTCTCCTGTGTCAGGTCACACACGACAGTCACATGATGCGTGTCCTGTGAGAGGCTGTCTCGGGGTGGGCAGGGGAGGGTCTGGGCCGGGCTTGGTAAGTGACCGTGGGGTGAGAAGGAGCCGGGCAGCCCAGCTGTGGAGGAATGAGAAGTGGACAGGTGTCAGCCCCGACAGGAGGTCAGCTACCAGGGGAGCTATGGCCACATTGTTGAGAGTGGACACTGAGGATGGGGATCCTGTTCACTTTTCCTTTGTTTGCCCAGTGCCTGGGGGGGTAGACAGCGGGTGCTCGGCAGAGTCAGCGAGTGGGCCTGAAACTCCTGGGTGCTGGGACCCTCCTGGAGAGCCATCCTCAGGCCCTGTCTCAGCAGAACCGTGAACAGTAGCTGAGGGGATGGCAGGTGAGCTGAGGATGGGGCCCTTTCCTGTCCCCCCATTCACATTCTTTAGCAGATAAGCTCAGATCCTTCCAACCTCTGATTCTTCTGTAACCTGAGAAAGATTTTGGTGCCATCTTTTGGATGGATTTTCGTTTTATGGTGAGATTCTCAGCTTTTCCTGCCCAGCGGTTACGTCCCACACTGCTTCCCTCAGTACCTTGCGGCTCTGGTCACTTCCTTGGGACACCCCGACTGTGCAATTTCCAGAAGGCCTTAAGAACCTTGAAAACTTAAGTCCCTTCAAGCCAAAGTTTCAAATTTTGCTTGCTTACCTTTTTTCATTGTAACAGTAACGGCAAAACTTAGAGGCCTATGAGAAAGGACAGAGGTGCCGTAGGACCTCAGTGGGGATGAATCCCCCCCACCCCAGGCCTGCCCGTCTTCTCCTGGGGCGCAGTGGGGACCAGGCTTCCCCTGAGTGTTGAGTAGAACCACCGCCTTGACGATGACCCCTGTGCTCCTGTGATCGGCTTGGCCTAACCCTTGGGATAACCTTGGAAATCACTGACTGTTCTGAGAGGCTGCTGCTGGGTGTGTGGACGCTGGATGCAGACATCGTCTGTACTGCTCCTCGTTTGTGTGTTGAGTCAGCTCTGTTCAGAAGAACCTGAAACGCAGTGAGCAGAGTGCAGCCCAGACGACTGTGTTTCTCCTTTCCTCAGTGTGGCCATCAGTTTAGGCCACAGTCATGCTGCTTGTGCGATGCTGTCCAGGGAAACTTAGGGTGACTCCATGTGACAAAGCACTTTCAGACATTGGACCTCACCTGACCTCCCGAGGTGCCTGGGAGGTGCAGCTAGCACTTTGGAGAAGAGAAAGCTGGGTTTTGAGGCACCTGGCCAGTGGCCTGAGGGCATCACTCAGCAGGTCCGAGCTGGGTTCCCCCCAGGACCTGTGCCTTCAGTATTTTCCCCTGTCCCCCATTTCTCAGAATCCATCCTGTCAGATGTCACCTAGCATTAAGGAAAGGTGTTCATGTCGGGAGTGGCTGCTCCAGTCTCACTCTGGCTCCGTCTCCTGGGCCAGGCTGCCCGGCTCATCCTGAAGGCATCCCGGGGTGGGGGGACCACGCACCTCTTGTCTCCTCACTGTCCCCGTGCCTGAGTCAGGCATCTGGTGTGTAATTGCTGGTGGGACTGGAAACATGTCACGTGTATCCAGGTCCCCTTCATAGGAACGAGCAGACACGTGCACAACAGCATTTGACTTCCTACCATACGTGTGTGACCCACGTCTCCTCACTGCTGGGCCTTTTCCCACAAATGACCTCAGATGTGACCTGCTTAATCCTGCAGGGAGATAAATGGTTATTTTTATAGTGAGCTTGTCTTTTCAGAAGCCATATATAAAAGTCACTTTATAGCCAGGTAAAGGTAAGCGTCTACATGACTGAATGGAATGGAGCCATGATCCAGGATTGTGACCACTTTCTCCCTAGCCAGCAACAGGCACAGCCTGAGAGGAGCTGTGGGTTTGGGTCTGGGGTGGCAGGTGAAGCCCTGCGGAGCCCGGATGCCCTGCTCCGTCTGGCAGGCCCTCCTCAGGAAGGAGTGTGGTATCTCCGTGCGTGTGCTCCATGTATGTGCACACTTGTCCAGGGCACACGGAGGGAACATGCCCCACTTGTAAATGCACTGACTGTAAGGAAAGACACATTCTTAGAAACGTGCCACGTGGGAACCCCTGACAGCCCAGAGTGGGGCGTGGTAAGAGGCTGTCCTGCAAATACAATAACAGTAAATCACTCTGCCCTGGCACTGGGCGAACGGCCAGCTCGTGGGCACAGCATGGCCCCAAACTGCCTGGTGCTTGCTGTCGTGGGTGGGGTGTGCCTATCTGTTGCTTTTACCAAAGTTACTACCTGCCCTTCTTCCTTCCATTATCAGAGAAAGTATTTTAAGCAAAAGCAGTTATTTAGAGGAAAACTTGAGTTCTTGCCTTTACTCTCTCATTGTTTGAGAACCTCACCTGGAGGCATGTTCACCCCTGGGCAGGGGGCACTGATGAGCAGTTTGTCACATTCACAGGACCTGCAGAGCTGGGTGAACGGGTCCAGCGAACACGGCTTTGTTCTCGTGTCCTTTGGGGCTGGCGTCAAGTACCTGTCAGAGGACATCGCTCACAAGCTGGCTGGGGCTCTGGGGAGGCTGCCCCAGAAGGTGATTTGGAGGTACAGTGTCCTCACAGCTACTTCCCCCCACTCTGCCCACAGGTCTGTGAGCCCCACAGAGGCTCCGGCAGGCGCAGCGGAGCCTGGGCTCTGCATTGTGTGTCTTGGGTAGCGAGATCTAGGCTTGAATGTGTGAGTCTGCAAGTAGGGACACGTAGTCTGCGGGATGGTGGCCCCACTTGTCTGTCTGTCCTTTATTTCCATTTTTCTGCGCCTTCAGATCAGGGCTGGCATGGGGGACAGTGAATGAATGATACGTGGGTGAAATATTCCGTGGGGCCTTTCGGGTCCCACTTGAAACCGGACCTTTAGAGCACAGCAGCATGCCAGTGCCAGGCCGCTGGGTAAGCAGGCCCACAGGTGGCCCTGCGTCCTGCAGGCGCTGCCGGTGTCTGCCCGAGAGCACCGACCCTGGGCGTTCCTGCAGTGTGCTTGCTGGGCGGTGCCACCACCCTCGGGCCTGAGCGGCACAGCTGGGAACTGAGGCCCTGCGCGGGCTCTGAGGAGCTCTGCTGATGAGCGTGTCCTCTGACAGCTTCTCCTGGCCGATGGGGAAGGGATTCGGGTTGACCCTTCGGACCCCGTCCTGTGGGGTTTTCTGTTAGGCTTCCCTGGAAAGTGCCCCCTGCTTTGTTTAGGACAGTTTCTGTCCAGTAAACCTCAAAGTTTCACCTTTCAAAGATCGAGGCAGGACCCAGCCAGGCACGGCCTTCCCCTGAACCCTGCCCCCGGCCGAGTGGGAGAACCGCGCGCTCTCCTCTCCTCCTCGCCTCCCGGAGGCCCGTGTCCAGGATGGAGCTGGTGGCTGCCTGCCGCTGGCCTCTGGATCCCTCTAGTTCACCTTCTGGCTCTGGTGGGATGAGTCCCTAGCACAGGTTCATGTGGTGCTCTCTCCGCCTCTGGATAGGTGAGAAGAGCAGAGGGAGGTGGGCTTCAGTATAACCAAGTGGCCTGTTTGTCCCCCAGTCAGTGAACATGTGATAAAGAAACTTGCCAGACTTCTGCTGTGGTGAAAGAGGGATGGTTCCTTGTTAAAGGGTGTCAGCAGAAGATGATGTGACTCTTATTTTAAACCTAACACCGTAACCGGAGTCTGCAGAGTGCAGTGGTTTCTGAGAGGCTCCTTGTCTGCTGCATGTGTAGGTTTTCTGGAGCCAAACCGAGGAACCTGGGGAACAACACGAAGCTCCTGGAGTGGCTGCCGCAGAACGACCTGCTGGGTGAGTGGCCCGCCCCACCCGACACAGGCTCGGGCTGATGTGCACGGGTGACCGTGACCAGGCTCCGACGCTGATGTGCACACTCTGCCTTCAGCTTGGGGCTGATACATGTGTCATGTGTGCAGTGTATGAGACAGCCGTGAAGTCATCTGGTGTCTCAGCTGTTAGATTTCACATCAAGTCAGATCTTTATTTGTGGGAAAATAAAAAGTATAATCATTAGGGCCTATAAATGAAAATTTTTAGACCAGTCACCAGTTTTGATTTTTCTGGAAAATATCTTAATATAACCACATACTTATGGAACTGTGTAAATTAGCAGGGAGTGAAGTTACACCTAATTAGGCTAATTGCCTAAAGTAGTAAATTAAATCAGTGAAAATGTAGATTTGTGTCACAGTTTTATTACACAGGGAAATTGAAAGTTATTCATTTGTTTGAAACCAAAGACAAGCAGAGGGCCAAGGAAGCAGACCGTTTATTTTAACTTTATTTGGATTATCTGCCAGAATTTCTGCCTAAATCACCAGGCATTTTTGAAACACTTTATTTCTGGCTGTGGTCAGAGGGTGCTCCAGGGCGAGCAGTGGACCCAGGGTGTCTTTGCCCTCTGTTCCCAGCTCTCTTATGGCTGGGCCTGGTGGTGACAGTGACGCTCCCTTCAAGGAGACAGTTTGGGTCCACTGGGAGGGCAGGTCCTGGTGTTGGCTGAGAGAAGCCACCTGTGGGCGAGGGTCAGAACCTGCATGACCCCCGCCGGACATTGGTCCAGTGAGGCCTGGGGCCCCTCGAGGCCGAGGCCCACAGGTCCGTGTGCCTGGGTGTCTTCAGAAGATGCAGGTTTGGGGGCTTCGGGGCCTGTCTGTCCACCCCCTCATGGAGCCTGGCTGCTCACAGGACCTGTGGGGATTGAAACACCGCATTGATTCTGGTCAGTTCCTGCTTTTATCCCCATGACAGCCATGTGTTACCTGGTGTCCCATCTGCTATGGTTTGTTTTCGTCAGTGTCTGTCCCTTGTTTGGACACCTCAGCAGTGAACGCAGATGCTGATGTGACGGCTGGGGTCAGCCGTCCAGTGCTGACGTCACTCAGTGTGGCAAGTGCTGATGATGCTGACGTGACTCGGTGAGTTGGAAGCTGATGTGACTCAGTGTGGGGGATGCTGATGTCACTCAGTGTGGTGGGTGCTGACGTCACACCGAGTGGCAGATACCGTGGAGGGTCAGCAGCGTCCTGGGATGAGCAGTGCTCCTGTGCACCTGGGACCACCCCCACTTCCACAGGTTCTCACGGACGGGACGGTCTGACGGTGGTGTGGGCAGCATTGGAGCAGCAGGGACAGCGTCTGCTCGGGGTCACTGTGCTTCTGTTTCTTGCTCCCATTGGCCTCCTCTTAATTACTGGGTGTTTCAGTAGATGTTGGTGGTCAGTTCATATTTGTGTTTGAGAGAAAGTTGTAATAAAATTCTCAGCTATAAATCTTGGCTGCTTAAAAATGGCCTCTATAACTGTGATGGCCTTAAAAAATAATCAAATACGTTAAAATTTGTGTGTTCATAATGATACTGTAAAAATAAATAAAAAGACATCATTGGCCATCTTTGGAGGTATTAAGGACCCCCCAGGAGTTGTAAATAAAGGGAAGGAATCACCCAACAAACTGTCTTTTAGTTGACATATGCAAATCAGGTGATTATGGATCATGACTGGTGTCCACACCTCGGGTGTTTCTGAGAACCTCTGCCTGAGTGACAGGTTGTGAGCTCTCTGTCTGCTGCTCCCCCAGGGCACCCCCACATCAGGGCCTTCCTGAGCCATGGAGGCCTAAACAGCATCTTTGAGACCATGTACCACGGTGTCCCGGTGGTGGGCATCCCCCTCTTCGGGGACCATTATGACACGATGACCCGGGTGCAAGCCAAAGGCATGGGGATCCTGCTGGAGTGGAAGACGGTCACGGAGGCAGAGCTGCACGCGGCCCTGGTGAAGGTGATCAACGACCCGAGGTGAGCTTCCAGCAGGGGACAGGAGACACCCCAGCAGCTGCAGACGCCAGTGCACAGCACCTTGTGCAGGTTTCTGAGTTGGGAAATGAAAGTAGCCCCATGTGTCCACATTCTGTGGGGGAGGATCTGCAGGGGAGTCGCCGGGGTCCCCGCCGTGGGTCAGGCCTTCGTCCTGCTCTCACTGTGGCACTCACAGTAACCAGGTGGCACCGGGCATCCCTCAGTCGGGCTCATCAGAATCTCTGTCTTGTTTTGAAAGCTCTGGTGTGTGTTGAGTTGGCTGCGCTCACAGCTGAGTCTTGGTGGCGAGCAGGCTGTATGGTGACAACACAGTGGCCCTGTTTCTAAGGACACGCCATTGACCTTGTGCCTCAAGTGACACTGACAGGGAGGAGTGTGCATGTTCTGCTCCCCCTGTGTAGAGACCACGGACACCTCTGAGGACCAGCCCACAGGAAAGATTCTTTCATGTGAAAGGCTGCAGGCCGCCACCTGTGGGCTCGGGGGGTAGGGGGGACCCAGCGCCTTGGTCACAGCTCTGGTGCTTGGAGCACAGGTGACCAGGGGTGCCCAAGAAGGGGACCCCTTTGCCCATTCTGCCGCGCTTCTTTCCAAGTCTGTTTTTTGCAAATGTGATGTTCTGATGGGAAATGGCAGGGACCAGACAGGCTCTGAGGCAGGTTGTACAAGGCGGCCTGTAGCAGCGTCTGGGCCCCTCCAGAGCTGCTGAGGTGGTCCCCGCCCCCGGCCACAGTCGCTGTGCCCCATGGCGCAAAGCAGGGCCACGTCTGAGACCTGGCTGAGGTCGCACTGTGAAACCCAGGGCAGGCTCCTAGTATTCGAAGCGCTTGATGTCAGAGCATTCTCGTTTCCCTCATCTGAGGACATGCTTAGTGGTTTTGGAGAGAGCGGAAGCGAGAGGGGGAGAGAGACGTCAGTCGGTGGGCCCTGGCTGGGAGCTGAGCCTTACCCTTTTTGGTCCACGTAGGGCCCCAGCCCACCGAGCCACCGGCCAGGGTGGTCTCAGAGTGTTCTCATCTTGTGCAGTGAGCAAGTGTATGCCGTTCTACAAAGTATGCAAGTGAGACGAGGCTCTGTGCATTCAGGGCAGAAGGTGCCTTATTCAGTGTGGGAAGGCGATGCCCAGGGCCTCCGTCTCTGCGGAGGTCGTGTGTGACAGTGCTCCAGCCCGACAGGCAGGCCTCGTTCAGGGCTGACGTGCTTCAGCGCACCGTGCCGGGCACTCGGTGCAGGGTCCCCGCCGTCACCGGTGTTGCTGAGGACGTATGGGTATGTCTTACACTGTCAGGAGGTCCTCGGCACCTCACGTCTCTCGCAGGTAGTCGGATGGATTTCACAAGCTGTGATCTGTTCTTTGGGAGGAAGTCTTTTGCATCTGGAGGTTTTATTATTTTAAGCAGGCGGCGGAGAAGGGTGGGCAGTTAATCCTTACTCCACAGCCTGTGGTATTGACTTTCAACAGGAGGCACTTTCTGTTTAGTAAAACCTAACGTAAGGGGTGTGCCTGGGGTGTGCCTGGGGTGTGCCTGGTGTGGGGACAGAGATTTGCGGTCCGAAACGCTGCATGTGCAGCCAGCTCTGTGACCGTGATCAGGGCCCTCTGGGTCCCTGTTCCTCGCCTGCTGACAGCGTACCCCGCTGGGTCCACATGAGATAACGTGCTCCAAGCCCTGAGCGCAGTGCGCGCGTGCCCGCTGGTTTTCACTCTGTGTTCCTCGCCCACAGCTACCGTCGCAGGGCCCAGCAGCTGTCCGAGATCCACAGGGACCAGCCCGAGCACCCCGTGGAGCGGACCGTGTACTGGATAGAGTACATCCTGCGCCACCGCGGCGCCCACCACCTGCGGGCCACCGTCTACCAGCTGTCCTTCTGGCAGTACTTCCTCCTGGATGTGGCCGCCGTCCTCTTGCTGGCCAGCGCCCTGCTCTGTGTCCTCCTGTCCTGGGCCACGTCACTGGTCCGCAGGCAGGCCCGGCGCTGCTGGTCCAGACACAGGCCCAGCGTGGTGAACGGGTACCCCCACAACGGGGTCCTGAACGGCAGGTGCCAGAGGAACGGCCAGGTCGCGCTCGACAAGAAGGCGAAGTGAGCCCGCGACCCCGTGCCCCGCGGTCGCTGCTGCCCTAGCCTAACCCCCGAGCCGCGTCAGCGAGCGGTTCTAACCCCTCCTCCGATTACTAACGAGACCCTGTGGGTTAGGTGGCTGCAAAAGCACAAACCTAACGTGCAAACGTATTTTATTCCAACACCCATGTCGAGTTTGGCGCTGGACCTGTTAGAAGCCTTAATTATTTAAATCGGCTCAGTGCCCGTGTCAGCCTTCGTTCCAAAGCTTGGCGCACGTCCCGTCGCAGGCCGGGTGGTCTCCTCGCGCGTGTGCGCGTGTGCGCGGGTCCCGAGAGGAGCGTGGCCTGGCTGCTGTGCCGTTTGTGAAGGGTGAGATGGGCGGTCAGGAGCCGATGCTTCTCTTCCAGAGTCTCCCGTGTGAAACTCAGGACACTGCGCAGAACAACACTTCCCCTCAGAGCTGAACACCGACCAGGGAGAAAATGAAAGGCAGGAGCACTGGGTTTTGTACTCTTACGTTTTTTGTTTCAGTTTTTTGTTTGTTTTTTGTCTTCCTTTTCTTATGGACTGTGGATGCTTCTGGAGGAAAATCATACAGTTAAGTAAATGCATCAGTTGGTTGTCACATTTTGTTTGTTTTCCCAACCAATAATTGGCTCTGGAAGAATTTTATAGTTTTTTCTGTTTCATTTTCATAGTCACGTTGTGTGTAACAGACGCAGCGGCCGAGCTGCAGCTTTTGTTACAGTCCGCGACCAGCTACGCCGGCGGCTCCGCGGCGGCGTAGCCCGTTACCTGACTGCTCTGTAACGATGCTTCTCCGCAGCGTCGTTGTGGAATGTTCAGGTGTTACGCCTCCCCAGTTTTAACTTTAAAAACCATGCTTGTCACCCCTCTTGTCTGGGCCACACAATCTATGCTACGGAGGTGCCAACGCGAAATTCTGGTCCAGGGGACGTGTCGGTCTCTGTCCTGGTCCCTGCTCTGTCCGGTCCGCTTCATTCAGACCTGACATGATATGCAGACGTGACAGAGGATTCGCACTGTTTTAGAAACCGAGTAAAATGAGTTCCCGTTCCCTCTCTCTGCGCCCTGCCCCAGCAGTGAGTCTGGCCACTGTGTCCGACGGGGCACGTGACAGTGACAGTGACGTCATGACCTCCTGGCCCAGCACCCCCGTTGGCACCTCTGAGTTATTTCAGGTCATTCTGTTTACTGAGCACCTGCACTTCTGTGAGGTGAGCTTTATTTATTGATCCTGAGACACCCGTGTCTGCAGCTGAGAGTAGAAACACACCAGTTACCCAATGACGTTCACTCACATGGGAAGAGCCGTGAAAATTCCTACCGCCTTTGGCCTCTGCGTACACTATGACACGCGACTTCCTGCCCCCACCAGGAGCCGGGGTGCGCTAGAATCAGCAGTGTCCTAACCTAGAGCGCAGACACGCACGCTCTCCGAATACTTGAAGAAACGGTGTTACACTTACAGGCCTACGAGCCGTACGGTGTCACAATCTTACCGTGATGCTGCGGCAGAAAGGGACGGAGCCCAGGCCGTGAGCGGTGGGTGGTGGCCGGACGCCGAGTGTATGAGGCCCCGACTCTGCGGTTTTGGGATTGGATGGAGTTGTCAGTAGCACCCACTGGATGATTAAGCAAAATCTCCACTGTGACAAAACTTAAACAATAAACGTGATTTAAAATAGACCAGTGTTGTTGGAATACAACTTTGTTCAGGTTTTATTTCACAGCAGTGTGCTTGTCCGTTATGAACGTGTTTCTGAGACAGGTGTCCCACGTTTCTGTGTGTAAGTGTGACATGGCGTGTTTGTTACGCGCGCGGTGTTTATTACCAGACAGGGATCTACTTACCATACGAGTGTGTCACCGTGGGTCTCAGACTCGTCCCCAACTCAGAATGTCAAGTGAAGCCCCTGGCTGAGCGTTGCTGTATTTTTCTAGTCAGCTTATTGTTAGCTAGATTCTCTAATAAAGGAGAGTTTTCAAGAACGTTTTTATTCATTTGTCTTAAAAAAGAGCCTGTGCAGATATTTCCATGCTGCTCATGATCACACCTAAGGAGACCAAGACGCTGGGGCCCTTGCCCTCGGAGACGAGGGCAGAGCTTGGCTGTCGGGCCCGAGGGGAGTGATGTTGGGACTGCAGTGGGTCAGGACTGAGGCTGAAGAAATTAGAGGTTCTCTCGAGAGTAGAGGCCCTGTTACAACTTGGGCCTCAGATGCCGGGGCTTCAGCGACCATTTTCTGGGACGATCTCTGGGGTATCGGCTCAGGCCTGGGTGTAACTCAGGAATCTGCGCTGCGCGTCACCCACCAGCATTTACACCTGAGCCTGGGTGGTGCCCCTCCACACTGGACCTCAGGACTCTATTCATGGGATGGGACACCTGCCTGCCCACCCCTTCTCCCTCATCTCCTGCTTCTGCAAGGTCTGTGCTCGGATCCCAGCAGAGTCTGGCCCTGCCCAGAGCCCAGCTGCCTGCTTTGCGCAGCCATCAGTCAGACTAGGTGTCTCATCAGGTGTCCTGGGGCACAGAGCACACANTCATCAGGTGTCCTGGGGCACAGAGCACGTGCTGGAGTTAACAGGAAAGAAGGCCAGTTCGTTGTGAAGCCACTGTGGCCTTTGCGTTTATAAACGGAAGGGCCTTGTTTGACATGCACACCTGGAGTGGACTGAGGAAGGAATTTTTTTATCCGCTGGGATCGGGGAACTGCCGGGCGGCGTCCACTGGACAGCAGGGCCGTGTGAGGTGCCGGCACCAGGCGGGGGCTGTGGAAGCCCGGCCGTGCCCAGGGGCCCCTGCTCACGGCCGCTCGTTGGCAGATGTCTGTAGTCGGACCCCAGGGTGCTAATTGCTCCATCTGGACGGTCCTGGGAGCCTCATTCTGTGAGTCACATGGAAGTCAGGCTCCTGTCGTTTGAGGTCCTGACTTTGAGGCCAGATCCAGTATTTATTGATCTTTAGGTTTTGATTTCTTATTTGTGCAGTGATTACCCCCAGGCTTGTGTGTACACATATACACACACCACACACCAACACTAACACTCACAATCACACTCATGCAGAAACACACACACTTACACTAACACACACATGCCCCCCACATACAGAAACACACATCCACATGTGCACACTCACATTCCCACACACACTCACAGAAACTCTCAGATTTGCAGTCGAGTCCTGGACGCACTGAGTTGCCTGACCTCTTCCATATTTCTGTGCTTTCGGGTTTTGAAAGTTGTTTAAAAAGCTTTATTCTTCATTCACCACCCATGTGTGGAATCTTCTCAGCTGGGAGCATCTTAGGTGCAGGAGGTCACCCATTCGTTTCTGTCTTCTCTCTCCAAAGCCCTGCCACTCACCAAACCCCAAGATGCTACTAAAACATTTGAAAATGGGGGACCAAACTAAGGCGATAAAACCACCTTGGGATAATTCAGTGATCTGTTTTATTATTGAACTATAACTTGTTTTTATTTTTTTAAGTAATTCAGCCAGTTTGTAAATATAAAGTCACATAGGACGATACGTATTTGCAATTGGTATAATGAAAAACCATTGAAACAAAACTTTTATATGGCAGTGTGAGAATTACATGAGTTCAGTTAGTGAAAATTCTCCAAAACACGCATTAAACAGTTTCTTACCCTCATACTTCTATGGTAGAAAGATCTTTGGCCAACTTTTTTTTTTTTTTTTGAGAAAAGCCAGCATAAAGTACTTTTATTACAATAATAAAACTTGAAACTCATATGTAGTGCAGGGGGAGGAAGGAGGGGGTAGGCAATTTTTCTCACCAAATCACTACACAGGACAGCAAAGGAGTGACAGGAGGGAAGGAAAAGCCAGGAAACTTTGAGCTCAGCAGGGGGAGGTGAGCATCAAAAGACAGGAGATGCTGAAGCTGTGATGACCAGCATCATTTTCTTAAGACAACACTCAAGGATTTGTCATGATGGCTGGGCTTTCATCGGGTTTTAAGTGTCTACAAACAGCACCTTCAATTTAAACTTTCAATTAAAGTTCTTAAAATTTAGGGAGTGGAGTCCTGGATAGCTATGACATTATAAAAGTCCTGAATATCTATTAGAAAAAAAACCCACAGGATGGGAGGGGGAAGCCAGGCCACGAAGAAGGCTTCAGAGGTCCCTGCTGGCCTGGGGACAGATACCTGTAGTGTCCAACATCGCAGTGAAAACTATTTGCTTTTAAAAGGCAGAGGGTTTAAGGGGAGAGTGGGATGGGGCAGTGGAGGCAAGGGCTCTCCCCCTCCCCACTTCAGTTTTGGGTAGGGCTCTTAATTCAACCCAAAGACATCTCTCAACTTGGAGATAATTCGGCCCTCAACAGCGCCTCAAATCTGCTATGGCTTTGCAGCGCAGCAGCAAGAATGTTTAATATATAATAGATAAAAATTTCATCCAAAAAATAAAATAAAATAAAGATTCTTGCATTCCCCCCCCCACACCAATTCCTAGTCTAAAGTTAACCCATTACTTGTGCTGTTAATACTTGACTAATACTTAAATGGAAACCTAGATCCAAAAGACTGAAACTGAATCTTCANCCAACTTTTTTTTTTTTTTTTTTAATATATCTTTATTGATTTCAGAGAGGAAAGGAGAGGGAGTGGCCAACTTTTAAAGACATGTATTTCATGCAAAAAATGCTAGTGAAAATTTTTACCGACAACAAAAACATTTTTCCAACATTAGAAATGCCTTAGAAATGCATACATTAAAGTATTCGTGTCGTCATGTTTCACTAATTCTGCAAAACTACAAATTCCTAAGTGCTCAGGTATTTGGGTTGCGAGTTGGGGCAGGGGATGTAGTAAGGATGGTCTTCCTGCCCAACTGTGAAAACCAAAGGCACTAAAATATTATATGAGTCGCACTCTTCCCTTGTGGGTAAATAAGACATAGTTTGAGAGTGAATTCACAGTCCCCAAGATTACTGAAATACGTCTAGTTAGTACAATGAAACGAGATTTTATTTTCAATTCTCGCCCAAGGATATTTTCCTTTGAATTTAGAGATCAAGGAAGGGAGGGGAGAAACTTCGATTGGTTGCCCCCCATATGTGCCCCAACGGGGGTCGGACCCACACCCTTTCTCGTGCACAGGGCGACGCTCTGACCACTTGAGCCACCCCGCGCGGCCAACCCGGGGGTTTTCCGCAGAGCCGTGCGGTTGCTCTGAATGCCTCAGCTCCCGGTCGCGCCCTCCCATTGTCACCCTGTGAGCTGCATTCCCGCGGTGCTTCGCAGCTAGACGGAGACGCGGAGTTCGCTGTTCTCTGCCTCAGTTATTAACAAGCCTGTGGGTGGAATATCCCCCGTCACGGGCCGCGGGGTTTGGTGTGTCAGCTGGACCCTTTTCCCCTAACACGGTTACTGAAACATCCCCCGACTAGATTGTGGTGCCTTTTTACCCCACGTCCTGGGGAGACCTTTCTACATTCACCTCCTGCCTCCTATTTTTCTAATATTTCTGAATCTTGCATCAAGAGAAGGCTGCCTTTTTGCTGTCAGTTCTGGACTCACATTGCCATGTTACCTGGGACGTCATCGGAAAAGTTATTTTGATTTATAGGCAGGCAGATGCGTTTCTTCACTGATAACACGATAAATCCTGTCCCTTTGCTGGGGGTCTTCCCAGCCTCTGGGTGCCACGGCTCTAAGCACCGCCCGCATCAAAACACCATCCCACGCTGTTCTCTGTTTCCACGGTGCCAGGCTCTGTGGGCCGGGCCCCCTGCAATGCTGGGGCACAGCACGGAGAAGCCACTGTCCCCGGTTCAAGGGGACGAAGCACGGTGAGCAGCTCAGGAAGCGGAGGGTGTGCTGTGGGCCGGTGTGGACAGAGTGCCCTCAAGCACGGGCATGAAGGAGGTGCCTCCTGGAGAGGTGGGTGCAGGTGGTCCTGGGAGGGCGCGTCCTGTGGCCAGGGAGCAGGTGTGCAGGAGCCCGTGTGGTGAAGGGACAGGACCACGATTCTGAGGAACACATTTATAGCCAGTTGGTCAGTGTCCAACACAAGCTCACTGGCTCCTCGGGGACGTCCCAGGTGCCTGTCCTGTCCCTGAGCCGACACCTGGCCTTGGGGCAGGGCTCCCAGTACCGCTGGGGTCCAGTGCTTGTTCACAGACCGTCACACATGAGGGAAAGGCCCCTCTGTCACCTGACGGCAGAAAAGACCCAAGAGTAGAGCCGGGGCTGCAGAGGAAATCAGGGTTGTCCTGCGCCTGGTTCCTGGGGACTTGGAGGGAAAATAGACGAGAATTTGTTCTCATGAAGAGATTCAGCAACGTCAGCAGTTTATAATCTGTTTCATGAACCTGGTAACGAAAAGTTAGTGCCTGGGAACCTGACTGGTGCTCACGGCAGCAGGCGCCCAAGGACTGGGAGAGGCTGTGGGCACGTCAGAGGTGAACTCGGACATATCTCCACAGTGTCGCCTGTGAGCACGAGAGGTGACCATGGGAGCAGCAGTGACACAGGAAACAATGTCTAGGCTACAGCTTTCAGACACTTTAAGCTTAGCCCCATCGATCCCACGCGTGTGGCTCTTCCTGCAGCTTTGGCTTCGCTCTCCCAGCCATTGCTCTGTCCTTACTGTCCCCTGTGTCATAGGAGCATGTATTCCAAACACCAGACCCAGCCCAGACCAACCAGCTA